GCGTCGAGAAGTCGCAGCAGGACAAGAAAGTGAACTCGGAGGACATCATCGAGCTGCACTGGGACGAGAAGTTCTTCGAGGAGCTTCGAGGTATGGATTGCGAGCAGAGCGAGCTCGACAAGCTGGCGGCCTTCGAGAGGGAGCTGCAGCAGGCACGGGAGACGCTCTCCGCACGCTCGACGGAGATCGCCAAGTGGAAGGCCGAGGCGATGGCCATCCAACAGCAGGTGCAGGACCGCATGGCCAAGAAGCGCCGCACTGGGCATGACGGCCAGGGCGTCGCCGACGGAGGCGGAGGGGGAGCCGACGCGACCGCTGAGGCGGGCGGTGGCGCACCAGGGGCCGATACGTCAGCGACGAAGACGGCCCCTGCAACCCCGTCGCCCGAGGAGGTAGCCAACGAGGCGGCGCGCCTGTCGGAGGCCAAGCTCGCAGCGGCGACGGCGGCGGCGGCGGCGCAGCGGCAGGCAGCGGGCGCTGGTGCTGGCAGCGCTGCGGCGACGGCGTCTTCGGCGTGAGGAAGCCCCTTGCCCCTTCCGAATTCTGCGGTTTTGTTGAGGATGACCCCGATTTGCAGTTTTTCTTGGAGGGCCTTGATGAGCATGACCCCTGGGCCGGCGAAAGTTGTTTTCACCCCGTTCAGTCTCTGGCCGAAGCGTCCGTGACCCAGGGAGCGGCAGCAAGTAGGGTTGCGGCAGAGATGCCACAGCCTGCGGAGCAGGCCGGTGAGTTGGGCAATTGTTCGAGGGAGAGTCGGGCCGACCCCAGCGACGACACTAACCCCAGCCCCACAGCACAGGGTGTCACCGATACCCTTCCGAGCTCCGCTGCTTGTGCTGCTGGTGCTCCCCTCGCTCCTACTTTTGCGGTCTCGGAGTCGGTTTGGCTCAAGCACTGGACCCAAGTTGGTTGGCAAACACGCACTCTCTCCGACGTCTGGCCAGCAGCTCGAGAGCCCTTGGCTTTCGCAGCTGCAGGACCACACGTTCTTCATATCAGTTCACGCCACGCCTCATGGGCGACGGCAGTGGAGAGAAGTATCAGCGAGCATCATGGACTCGAACCCCCTCGTCGGTCACGAGCACATGGCCCCCATCAGGAGATCGGTGCTGTACATCAAGCAGAGCACGTACGCGATCAGCCTCTGCGGGACACACATGCATCGTGGTGGGCTCGCATGTGCACAGTAGCCAATCGAGTGGAAAGACATCGTAAGCGTAAAAATGGCAGAGTGCAGGTCCAGCAGCTGATTGATAGTGCAGCGAAACTCGTTCATGCAGCACCTGCGGGAATCCACGAGCGGTTTCCCCCAGGTCAAGGCACGTGGGATGAGTTTGCCACGGGGCTGGCTGATTTGGGAAGTTTGTCATTGCAGCAGCTGACAGACATGTGCAAGCTCGTGGAGCGAGGTGCGAAGCGAGGAAGGGCTCGCTCCACGAGCCAATCCTTGCGAGAGCTTCAGGACTGGATCAGCACCACAGGGGCCATCGGTATTGTTCATCGTAGTATCACGCACTTACCAGTTGAAGTTGATGGGTTACATTTCGAAAGTAAGTGTGCAGCGAATCCAAATGAGATCGTTGATAAAAAGGTTGAGTTCTGGCATCGCAAATTCGAGTTCGTTATCGGCCGATCGGTTCTTAGATGTGATGTTTTCAGTCAGACAGCAGGCGATGGTAGAGCAGTTGGAACCATTGACAGTCTCAGACCTTCGGCGCGCGCTGGCGCGCATGAAGCCGAAAGCTGGCCTCGGCTGCGACCAGATGTCGCCGCTGGACTTTGAACGACTATCTGATGCAGGACTCGAGCAGCTGTGCCAGTCATTCCTTCTCATAGAAGAGGGGTTGACGTGGCCGTGGCAAATCGTGGTCACCATCGGACGGCTGTTGGGCAAAAGGTCTGGCGGTGATAGGACCATCGGACTTATATCAATGATCAATCGGTTGTGGAGCTTATCGCGGGAAGACCAGATGCGCGCCTGGGCCGCCCAGTCGGCTCCACATTGAGACGCAGCGATTGCACAGAACAGCGCTTTAAGAGAAGCATTTGTCCGTGCACTCAATTCTGAAGCCTGCGCTCGCATGAACGCGACGCAGGGTGAGGCGCTTATCGACTTGGAAGCATTTTACGACAGCGCCGAATACCCGATATTGGCAGACACGGCGCTGCGACTTAATTTTCCTTCTGTTGTTCTCGGGTTGGAAATGCAGACATGTGTGATGCCCCGTGTGTTGTCGCAGTCCAATTCTTCCTCATTGCCGTTTCAGGGTAATCGAGGGATTATTCAAGGTATCCGCATCGGTGTGCGGTTCGGTCGTTGTCTAAGCTATTTCGTATTGCAGCCATTATGCGCCGCACACCCTCGGATGTCCGAGCGAATCTGGATCGACGATCTGGCACAGAGAACGGTAGCATCGAGAGTTCAGGTTCGACGTGATCTCATTGAGACCATCACGGATACGGCCGCTGAGTTTCAGAATGTCTCACTTAGTATTGCCGCCAAGAGTGTCGTGACTTGCTCTTCTCACGCCGACGCTAAGGCTGTGGTTCGGGTACTTCGTAGGAGAGGTATCAATATCACCGCAGCCTTGCAGACGGCGCATTTGGGAGTAGACATGGGAGCCCGACGCGCACGAGAGACGGCACGAAAGCGAGTTATCGAAGCAGGTACCCAGCATCAGAAGTTACGGCGGATGGTTGCAGCAGCTAGGCGATGCAAGATTACGTCTCGCATTGAGCGTGCAGGACCACAGGCCGTGGCCACGTACGGACATCAAGTTTACGGTAAGTTTGGTAGCGCTATGGAGTTGCAACGTAGGCGACTTGGCGCTGCTACAGGTGCAGTTCTTTGAGGTCGGTGCGTCACCACCTTTGATCGGGCTGCGAGCGGCATGTGCAGATCCAGGCATCGTACTCCCTCGCCAATGTCTTTCTCAATGGCTGCAGGTGTGGATTGCGGAACCATCGATTCGAGCAGGTGTTTATCGTGTGCGGTCGCAGGTAGCGCAACACCTTCGTCAGCTGCCTGCCACCCAACGTCCCAGACATATTCGAGGACCAGTGTCAACGGTGGTCGCTTATCTTTTGCAAGCCGGCTGGAATCCGATTTCTCCATCAGAGTGGGATCTCCCCAATGACGACGGGCAAGGGCTTCGCGCGTGGAAATTCGATGATGGAGCCTTGTGCGCGTTGGACCAGGCAGATGATCTATTTCGGGAGTTTGAAGGGTCATTGGCTCTGCGACAGTGGCGAGAAGCTGCGGACTTACACTGTGGAGGAGGATTAGAAGGAGGTGCAGACTTGATCAGTCTGCGACGGTATATAGATAGCCTACAGCATGTGCACAAGGGACGGCAGCTTGCCGAACTTATGGTATCGATCGCTGTTGGAGGAGTTTGGGCGAATGTACGTAAGTATAGTGTCAACATCGGCACCACCGATATCTGTGACAGATGTTCTGAGGCTCCTGAGCCCGACGTCCACTGGAATTGGTTGTGCAAGTGCAACAGTGACGGCAAAGCTTTCGAGCAATCGGAATACCTTGTTCCAGAAGCAGTGGCGGATCATGACGCGCACCCGTGTTTCTGGAGTCGGGGCATCATACCAGCGCATTGGACGAGAGTACCTCCTCCGAGCGCATTCGAATCCTGGTCAGGAGGTAATTTGTATGACGGACAGGCCTGCTTAGGCCACGGCACCGCCGAGTGCCCAGTGTATGTTTTCGGGGGCGCTTCAGGCGGCCCCGACACTCATGATGTTCGGTTGCGGCGAGTTGGGCTAGCTGTCTGTGTGATCACGAGTTTCACGCCTTTCACGGTGGGGCCCTTTCTGATTGGGCCACTCGCGGGAGGAGTACAGACTGTGCCCAAAGGTGAGCTCACGGCCCTTGAGCTTGCCATTCGCAGCACCACAGGTCAATTGATTTTTGTGACAGGCTGCTCGGAAGTATGCCGAGGGTGGTGAGCACTGCTGTTTCGCCAACCTGAAGGGTGTCACGCTGGGCTGTGGAGGCTCATCGGACGGCACCTTGCAGAGCAGCAGCGACCCGCCACAGATATCATAGTGATGCAGATTCCGTCACACTTGGACGCAGAGGAAGTATGCAAAGCTGCCCAGCTGGATGGTCCAAGGCAATGCAGCAGTGGACCACCTCGCAGGTGAGGCCGCAGTGGCCGCGCGAGCACCAGCTGGAGAGCGACATCGTGTGCTGATGGTGGAGAAGAAGGCCGTACTCGTACAGCGACGGCTCCTACGAGCAGGTCTGTGCTCGATCCAGCGTGAGACCGAGCTGAAGGCGGAGGCCGCAGCGCACAGACGTGCTGCTCGAACCGCTGCTCGGTCAGACGGCGGTGGAGCTGATTCCCCTCCTCCCCCGCGGCCTCCTTTGCCGCATCCTCCTGCGCCCTCTATTGTTGCACGCTTCGCGACGGCACAGGCCCTTACTGAAAGCAGTAAGTCCTGTTCTGTGTTCAGCGTCTTTAGCTACATTGTCCGAGTGGCTAAAAAGTGATTGCAACGCTTTAGTTTCCATAGATGGTAGAGTGTCTCGGGTGAAACGGGGGTGTCGTATGCACATCGCTGGAGGTTGGGCCCACCCCTCGCATGCCCTAATGTTTCATCACGTTCTGGGAACATGGTATTGCAACGTCTGCGGGCATTTCGGACAGTCCCAGCTCAGAGGACTTGGTACCCCTTGCAAGTGACCTGTTTCCAAGGCTCGTCGGGAACACCTTGACCGAATTCGACGTGACGAGTTTCCTCAGCGCAAGTAATCTGAGCCTCGAGCAATGGCTTGAGTGGTGGATCGGTATTTTTCGCTACGCGAAGGCTGTAATTCCTGTAATTCTCCTCCTCCCCCGGAAGTCCCGACCCTTTCCCGATGGCCAGTGAGTAATTTTGAACAGCCCCGCGACCCGGCGATGGTCCCCAGAGGCCGAATACGATCAACAAAGCCACCCTGAATTGTTCAAGACGTTGCATGTCCGAATCCGTGCGCCGAGGTTCTTGGTGCATCGGCTGTACGTGGACCTCATGAGGCCCTGCCCGGTGGTCGTGCTCTCCTCGCTCGACCAGGGGAGGACGCCGTTCCTGCAGCTGGACATGATCCTCGAGGACGTCTTCTCGCGGGACATGGAGCTCACCAAGGTGAATCTGTGTCTGACCCCCCTCGAGGTCACCGCGGACGACACGCTGATAAAGGCAGGAGGAGGGGGGAGAGGGACGAGGACAAGGTAGGTGAGCAAGTGTCAGATATGACGTCCTATCCTTCCCTACCATCCCTTATCATTGCGTAGATCTCCTCTCTCTTTCTCTCTCTCCGCACAGTCGGATGTCGAACAGGGCGATACTCCCGAGAGTGTACGCGATGCATGATACATCACCGCATAGCATGGCATAGAAGAGCACGGCCGCAGCCGACGTCGTAATGAGGATGAGCAGGACGAGCGAGGGGAGGACGGCGGAAGGAGAACGAAACACGTTCGCGTGGAACCTGTGCCTAGAGAGCGTCTTAGCTTCCGATGGCGATTCCGAGCGGACGGAGAGGGAGAAGGGATGAGAGAGGGAGGACGAGAGGAGGACGAGGAGGATGAGGGGGAGGAGGACGAGGAGGAGAAGGAGGACGAGGAGAGAGGAGAGTGGGACGAGAGAGGAAGGATGATCAAGAGGAGGAGCGACGAGCGAGGCAGGACGAGGAGGACGGGGAAAGAGAGGGAGGACGAGGCGGGGACGGCGGAGGAGGAGCGAGGGGCGGGCGGGCGGGCGCCTCCGGCACAATGCGCGACGCCCTCTGGCGAACGTGTTTTTTGTTTGTTAAGCTCAACGCCCGCACAGCCAATGTGAAAAAACAGAACCAGCAGCGGTGGGTGGGAAGCCACTGCTGGTAGTGAGGGCGACCTCACTCACTGAAAGGGTACCTCCAGCAGCCCCGTGGGCTACGAGGCACTGGCCACGCGACGGGCATGCTTGGCCATGCAAGCGGGGGGACTTTCACAGAGAGCCGTGCCCGTTTCCGCGCGCCTTCGGTGGTTTTCGCTGCAGGGCAGGCGTGTTCACGGCAGCCGGCTGTTTCACCAGGTGAGGTTGTTCGCGCTAACGAGGTCGATGAAAAAAAAAGATAAAAAAAGAAAAAATGAATTCTCGTCCTGGGACGTCTGCCATCGGCTGGCCCCTCACGACCCGATACCTCCCAGGCTGGGGGCCAGCGCGCCCCGTCATGCCGTCCTGCCCCGGCGCTCCTGGGCGGGGGCAGGAGGGGAGGGAGGCGACGGAGAAGGAGAGTCGATGACCATGCTGAGAAGGCAGAGGAGGAGGAGGAGGAGGAGCAGGATTAAAAGGAGCAGGAGGAGAAGGAGGAGGAGAAGGAGGAGGACGAGGAGGAGGAGGAGGGGGAGGAGGAGGAGGAGGAGGAAGAGGAGGAGGGGAGGAGAGGAGGAGGAGAGGAGGAGGAGGAGGAGGAGGAGGAGGAAGAGGAGTGGAGAAGAGGGAGGAGGGAGGAGAGGAGGAGGAGAGAGGCAGGCGGAGAAGGAGGAGGAGGAGTAGGAGGAGGAGGAGGAGCAGGAGCAACGAAGGGGAGGAGGAGGAGGAGGAGGAGGAGGAGGAGGAGGAGGAGGAGAAGGAGGAGGAGGAGGAGGAGGAGCAGAAGGAGGACGGGGACGACGGCGATTTTGTCTGGCGTGGCGGGGCCCCCCATGGGAGTCTAGCAACAGTAAGTACCCGACGCCTCTAATCCCAAGCTGCACTCTGTCAGTTATTCTGTACGTCATTGCTGCGATGCTTCGGCATGAGGCCAGGGCGGAAGAGGAGAAGGGGTAACGAGGGAGACGCGGGAAGGATAGAATGAGCGACTGGAGAAAGGAATGAATGGAGGATGGAGGAGTAGGAGGAGAAGGTGGAGAAAACAGATGAGGAAAGGAGGAGGAAGAGGAGAAAGAGGAGGAGGAGGAGAAGGAGGAGGAGGAGGAGGAGGAGGACAATGAACATGATTGTAAGAAGATGCAGGTATGAAGGGATAGAGTCAGGGGTCAGAGGAAGGAAATGGATGGAGAAACAAGTACACTGGGGAGGCGGAGCAGATAGAGGGGACGGGATGAGGAGGAAGTGCAGTGGTAGTTATATGAGAGGATTGAGGAGGGAAGGGTAGTAATGAGGAGGGAAGAGCACTGGGAGGAAGAACAAGAGAAGGGGGCATAAGAAGAGGATGATGATGAGCAGGTGGTTGATAAGGAGGAAGGGGAGGATGAGAAGTAGTGGGCAGGCTGAGGTAGGAAGATCGGGCAGCTGGAGAAGAGTATCGGGATGGAAGAGAAGGTGGGAGAAGCTGAAGGGGAAGAGGATGAAGATGTTGAGGAGTCAATGAGGAGTGGGGGAGGAAGTCCAGAAAGGGGCGGAGGAAAGAAGGATAATGAGGAGGAGGAGGAGGAGGAGGAGGAGGAGGGAGGAGGAGGGGGAGGAGGTGCGTACGAAGAGGAGACGGTGGTGGATAAGGAGAAGGGAGGAGGAGGAGGAGGGAAGAGGAAGTCGGAGGAGGTGGAGGATGAGCTGAAGAAGGAGGAGGAGGAGGAGGTTGAGGATGAGATGGAGGAGGAGCTGGAGGCACTTCCCGCGGCCGTGAGGAGGCGAGGAAGTACTTGGAGGCGGCGGTGCCGCGCGCGCTGCGCTCGGCTGCCGCGGCCGGCCGGCCTGAGCCTTGCTCGATCGGGCTCGCTGACCTTCCGCGGCTTCTTGCCCTCCAAGGCTTCTGACTCTGGCCTCGATTCTTGACGCTCCTCCTCCCCTCCTGCCTCCTCATCCTCCTTCTCCCCCTCCTCCTCCAACTCCCTCCTCTTCTTCAGAGCTCGGAGCTGTGGGACATCGGTGCTTCTCCGACGCAGCCGTCCCACGCCCCCGGGGGCGATTGCCTCTGGGGGGGGGGGGTAGATCAAGCCTGGGGGGGAGATCAAATTAGAAGACCTGCACCAACAATTGGTCAAGCGACAGGCACACACCCCAGGGGAGGGGCATCCAGGTCCTCCCCTGCACCAGGGGGAGGAGGAGGAGGAGGAGGAGGAGGAGGAGGAGTAGGAGGAGGAGGAGGAGAAGGAGGAGAAGGAGGAGAAGGACGAGGAGGAGGAGGCACACGAGAGGGCTCCAGATCAGGATTGAAAAGGGGCGGCAGGAAGGGCGGGGATCAGCTGTGGCCTGGGCGTGGCGGGTGGCGTGGCGAGCGGCGTGTGGCGTGTGGCGTGGCGGAGGCCACGCCCCGCCAGAGCGAGACGGCGTGAGGGCCCCTCCCCGCAACCCGAGGGCCTCCCGGGGCGGGACGACCCCCCGCCAGCGGCTGGGAGCCCCCTCGCCCCCGCCGAGGCGGTCGCAGAGCCCCCCGAGGTCGACCGACCCCGCCTGGGGGGGCCACCGGCCCAGGGAAGGCTTTTGCGCCTGGCCCTGCGCGGCGCGGTCGTACTCCAAGAAGAGTGAGCGGACCGCGTCCGCCCGAGCGCGCTCGCTGGCTCCCCTCTCTCGGGGCGGGATGCTGAAGCCACACCAGCACTCCCCAGCCCCCGTCTGTACCCAGCAGGTGCCTGGCCCGCTGGACCAATCTGGGAGGTGGGCCGCTGCGTCTGGCTTTTCCCGGTGCACGAGGGGGGGTCCCTTCCGGACCTGGCCGTCCGACCTTCACCCCGCGACCCAGGGGATCTGGCGCTCCCGAAGAATTGGAGCGGCGGGAGTCTGGGCAGTTTAGGGGGCCACATGCGAACCCTACCCCTGACCCCCCACGATTTCTGAGGGGGAGGGTGGAGTTCACTTCGCTCGGGAGCTGCCGAACGGCGAGTGAACCCCAACCCTCCCCCCCAGGAATCTTGGAGGGTAGGGGTAGGGTTCGCATGTGGCCCCCTGCAGTCCTCGGCCTCGGCCTGGCCAGGTGCGTCCACGGTGCGGGAGAGCTGGAGCTTCACGGGGCTGCCACGTCTGCCGGCAGCTTGGCGCGGCGGGGCCGAACTGGTTGCAAGCGCGGAGTGCGCGAGTCAATATTCAACGAGGACAAATCCACCCCGACCCCCATAATCGGCGTTTACTAAACGGCCCCGTGCGTTTACTAAACAGCGCTTTCTTGTTGGACTCCTTCGTCGGGTGCGTTTGCTAAACGGTTGCGTTGTCGGGGTGCTTATTATCGGGGTGGATCTCCAGCCCTCTAAATATGTGGCAGAGCCTGCGAGCGGTTGGGTGGTAAGGCAGGCGCGGCCGCGGCCGCATTGCCACAAGTCGGACTGCGCACGTGCCTCTCCCCACCGCCCGTAGGGATCCCATGGAGCAGGCCCCAGTCGCACCCCGGGAACCCTCGCCCTGGCCCCTCAGGGATGCCCAGTGGGGGTGAGGAGGCTTACGCTATCCTCGGCGGCGGCCTGCGATGGTCGCCGTTGCTGGGCCCATAAGCGTTCCCGCCTCCAACGCTAATCACCTCCCTGCGAGTTGGTTTCGGGCGCAGTGTGAGGTGCCTAAACAGGCGGCCTAGGTAGGGCATGTGTGGGAGAATGGGCTGTAGAGTGACAGAGACTCGCCTGCGTCGGCGTTTGCCAGTCGAAGCTGCAGAGCTGCACGTCTAGCGCAGCTTGGCGCTGCAGGGCGAGACCGGTTGCAAGCTGGTTCGTGAGGCATTGTGGCCAGCAAGAGGTGAGTAGAGGTGAAGGGGAAGGTTGCAGGGAAATTGAGGCGATTACACTGGCTGTGCTGGTGGCTCGGCTGGCTGCGGCCGCCCCGATCTTCGCCAGGATGGCCAGAGGTGAGTTACGTCCCCTCCCCCCGAGATGACACATCACCTGCCCATCCCGCCCCACAGGAGAGGTGAAGGCGTAGGTTAGATGGGGCGGAAGTGGGCGAAACATAGCAGAAGTGGGCAGCCAGTGGGGAGTGGGAGGTTGGGCGAGAGCTCTCAGTTGCCTAACTGATGGGTCCTTTGTGTGGCCCCACGACGCTGGGATTAAGGTGACACCAAGGAGGCGCGGGGTAGGACTATCAATTGGCGATGATCCTGACCACTGTGGGTGAGAAGGTTGCCGCGGGTTTGGGAGCCCCATGTTACCGCCAACCCACAAGTACGCGTCGGAGGAAGTCGGTCCACGAGAGACGTCGGGTTTGGGAGCCCTGTCTTACCGCGGACCCACTATATTAGCTTCTTGAGGTGGTCGCAGTCGCCGTTGCTGATGCTACTGCCGTATGGCAGAAAGGTGTGCGGTACTGTCGCGTGCCGTGTGGGAGTAGCGTGAGCCAGCTGCTGCTGCCGCCACAGTGGCTGCGGCGGTTTCGGTACATGACAGTGCCGAGGTCGGGAGTCGCTATACAATGGGACAGTTGGTGGCGCTAGGCGCTGCCTGAGCAGAAGTAAGTGGGTAGGAGCCTGCAGCCGCTGCTCGAAGAAAGTCGTCTGCGCTGGCCGCCCATGCGGATCTCGGCGTCCGGCTGGCTGCCGCGCACCGCGCGTGTAGCACGCCGTGCTTCCTGGCAGCGCCCGCCCGGACTGAGATCCTCCAGCCGCGCTCCTGGAGGCACTCGGCGGGCAGGGTGGGAGTCGCGGCCACGCATCTCGGGCCGGGCGAAAGGGGGGGAGTTGGGAAAGGGGGGGGGTGCGAAATCTGCTGCGTGCAGCTGGCTTCGGCCTCACCGAGGGGGCCATGCCTCGAGGCATGGCCGCCTCCGTCCGGCGCCGGGAGGCGCCGGGAAAGTCAGCTACGCGAGCTGATAGCGACTCGAGCTGAGTCTCAGACCCCCCCTTTGCTATCCCCCCCCCTCTCGCCCGACCCTGGGAGAAAAGGTGGAAAAACAGGAAAATAAAGAATCTCTGATCGTCAGCGCTCCTCGGGTCGTGCCTTCTTCGTTCCCTGGCTTTTCTGTCAGCAGGCAAGGCGTGGCTGGCTCTCAGCAGCTCTGCTCGGATGCCGCCAGGGCCCGCGTGGAGGTCGCGCGCGCGGTCCGCCTCTCCTACGCGTGGGCGAGGCACCGCTCTCACCGCCTCGTGGGGTCCCCCTCGGCTGCGCCGTAGGCCTGTGCCGTCTCCGCGGCGGGGCTGCCGACGTGGCCGATGCAGGCCCTCTCGGGGGAGGAGGAGGAGGAGGAGGAGGAGGGAGGAGAGGAGGAGGAGGAGGAGAGGAGGAGGGGGAGGAGGGGGAGGAGGAGGAGGAGGAGGAGGAGGGAGGAGGAGGAGGAGGGGGATGAGTAGGAGGGGAGGGAGAGGGGGAGGAGGGGGGGATGGGGGGAGGAGGGGGGGAGGAGGAGGAGGAAGGAGAGGAGGAGGAGGGAGGAGGAGGAGGAGGAGGAGGAGGAGGAGGAGGAGGGAGGAGGAGGTGGGGGGGGATGAGAGGAGGGGGAAGGAGGGGGAGGAGGAGGGCGAGGAGGAGTAGTAGGCAGGGGGAGGGAGAGAGGAGGAGGGGGAGAGGGGAGGGGGAGGAGGATTCGGGAGGGGATGGGAAGGAGGAGGAGGAAGGAGGTAGTAGGAGGAGGAGGAGGAGGAGGAGGAGGCGGAGGAGGAGGTTCGACTCCTTCCGCTGCGACGGCCCCGCTCGCGCAGGGCGGAGCTCTCCCCGCGGCGCGAGCCCGCATGCGTCCGATGGCCTCTGCCTGACCGGCCGCACAGCCAGGCGTCCCGACCGCACGCTTGGCATCGCTCGGACGTGTGCATTTTTTTCTCTCGGCGAGGGCCTTCGAGGAGCATCCTCGGCCATTTGGCGGAAGAACCACGCACGAGACCGAAACAAAAACACGGGAAGTGGACGTCCGAGCGATGGCCAGCACGGAGCGAAGAAGAGAGCACGGCACAAGCATAGACTTTGGGCGCTCCCGCGCGGATCTCTTGGGGGTCCGGCGCAGATCTCAGAAATCCGCGCGGAGCGCCACAAGTTTGCGTTTATGCCGTTTTCTCGTCTTCCAATGGAGGCCGTGCGTGCCTGTCCAGTTGGCCAGCCCTGGGGGCCTCCCGCGATGTCCCTGCAGCGCGGCCTGCCCGCGCAGGCCATCTGCTCCGGAAGGGCGCCGAGCATCGAGCCCTCCTCCTCCTCCTCCTCCTCCTCCTCCTCGTCCTCCTCCTCCTCCTCCTCCTCCTCCTCCCGACGAGGCGCCCGCCTGCACCCATCTGGGTACTCCCATGCTGGACGTCGTGGCGGCGGGCAGGCGGGCCAGCTGCGACGCATCTGCGCCAGCGTCGACGTGATCGCCGACGCCGAGATCGACGCGGCTGCCGAGGTAGTTCAGATCCTCGGCTCGTTCTCGCCAGTCCCTGATCTTTGGACGGATCGCTGGCTCCGACACTCTTCTCCTCCTCCACTCATCTTCCCCCTCCTGTCCGTCCTCCCCAGACTGCCGTTGGCGCAAACGGTTCTCTGGCGCACCCAGCGTCTCATCGACGCGTCTGCCCTCCTCGGGACCTTCCTTTGTGGCCAGTCTCCTCTTTTCCCTCCCCCTCCTCCTCCTCCTCCTCCTCCTCCTCCTCCTCCTCCTCCTCATTCCTCTTTGTCGGCGCATCTCAAATCCATTTTCGGATACCTTCTGACTGCACGATCTTCCGCACGAGTGTCGCCCTAAAAGTCTCGAATGCCTCGGCACAGCTTTCCAATCCAATCCAATAAGCTCCGCAGCGAAGGAACATGTATCGCCATGCAAATCACCGTCATGGCCGAGAGAACCGCTGCAGCCCAAATTTCAGTATTGGTTCAGTAAGGATGAGCTTTTTTTCAAGGATGCTCTTGCATCCTCCCCCTTCGGCCCATCCCCGGCCGCCAGCCGCTGCCGCTGGCCGCACCCCGCTCGCAAAGCGCCGACATGGCCTTCCAAGGCCTTTGGATCCTCATCGTGCGTCCTTATGATACGTGTCGGCTGCAAGATGTATCTCCGAATCTCCTTCTCCTCCTCCTCGTCCTCCTCCTCCTCGTCCTTCTCGTCCTCCTCCTCCTCCTCCTCCTCCTCCTCCTCCTCCTCCTTCTCGTCCTCCTCCTCGTCCTCCTCCCCCGCGCCGCGCCACGGTCGGCGTACCCCCCCGCGGCCGCAACTCGAGTGCCTGCCGAATCGCGCGAGAGCCGAGGCCTTGGGCGTGGACCTGCAGGCCGCTGGTGGCAGTGAGGAAGAGGAGGAGGAGGAGGAGGAGGAGGAGCAGGAGGAGGAGGAGAAGAAGGAAGACATCGGCCTGGCGAAGGACCCAACCCTATGCAGCTGCGCGTACCGCAAGACAGGAGGAGGAGGAGGAGGAGGAGGAGGAGGAGGAGGAGGAGGAGGAGGATCGGCGGCGAGCGAGGGGGGGAAGTGAGAAGGAGAAGGCCTGCTCGGAAGGCGGCGGGACTTCTCAGAAGCCCTCGCGCCTTCTATGAAGCTGTCTGTGCCTTCGGGGAAGGCTTAGAACACTTCTCAGAAGGCCTGGGGACTTCCCAGCCTTGAGAGAAGGCCTTCACCTTGTCACTTCCTCCCAGGCTCGCCGCCGAGAAAAGGTACCCATACCACTGCCCTTCTCTCGTTTCTTTTTGCGGGGCCTCCTGGGAGGCCCTCGTCGCCACCGCTGGGTTCGCCTCGAAATCCTGGTCAGAACGCACCCCGGGAGAGGTCTGGGGAGTACAGTCAACCCGCATAGGAAGGATGGACAATTTTCCCAAGGGCCCCCTTGCATCCTTGCCTCCTCGGTGCGTCCGTCGCCGCTTTCGCTGGCCGCGCCCCGCTCGAAAGGCTTCAAAATGGGCGTCCAAGGCCCTTGCATCCTTATCGCGCATCCTTACTATACTGGTTGACTGTAGCGGTATCGGTACCTTTTGGTCTCCCGAGCAGGCGGCGGCGGCGGCGGGGGGAGGTGGAGGAACCAGCGCGTCGAGGGGGGAGAAGCAGGAGGATGAGGAGCAGGAGGAGGAGGAGGAGGAGCAGCATCAGCAGCAGGAGCTGGAGGAGGAGGAGGAGGAGGGGGAGGAGGAGGAATGTTAGGGGCGATGGAGGAAGGGGGAAGAGGAGGATGAGGAGGAGGAAGAAGAAGAAGAAGAAAAAGAGGAGAAGAAGGAGGAGGAGAACGAGAAGGAGGACGGGCAGGAGGGGGAGGAGGAGGAGGAGGAGGAGAACGGCTGATCGGAGCGTCTGTCGGCCCGGCTTTGGGGAGCAGCAGGGCGCGGTCTTGGGAGCAGCAGGCAGTGGGGCCTTTGGGGGCCACGAAACGTGCGAGGGGTGCGCCATAATTAGTGGGGCGGCGGCGGCATGCGGGTGCAACCGCCGGGGCCTTCGGTGGAGCTCCCCATGGGCCCTCGGAACGTGTGAGGGTTGTTCCAAAGTTGGGTGGCGGCGGCATGCGGGCGCAACTGCTGTGTCCCCATGGGGCCAGGAAATTGGTGAAAGGTGCGCCAAAGTGGGGGGTCGGCGGCATGCGGGCGCAACCACTGGGGCCTGAGGTGGAACTCCTCATGGGGCCACGACACGTGGGCGTGCGCCAAAGCGGGGGGTCAGCGGCATGCGGGCGCAACCATTCGGGCCCTAGGTGGAACTCCCGATAGGGCCACGAAGCTTTGAGGGGCTCGGCAAAGTGGGGTAGCGGCGGCATGTGGGCGCACCCATTGGGGCCTGAGGTGGAGCTCACTTTTTGGGGCAGGAAGCGTGCAAGAGGTGCGCCAAAGTGGGGTGGCGGCGGCATGCTGGCGCAACCACTGGGGCCTTGCCTATGGGGCGACGAAGCATGTGAGGGGTGTGCCAAAGTGGATTGGTGTGAGAGAGGAGGAAGGAGAGCGAGGAGGAGGGGGGAGGGGAGTGGAAAAAGGGGAAGGGATGGAGAGGCGGCAGAGTAGGGAGGAAATGAGAGGAGAGGAAAGGGAGGAGGAGGGGAGGATAGGGTGAGGAGAGGAGAGGAGGGAGAGGCGCGGGACGCGCTGATTTCACAAAACGAGGACCAAAGAACAAGCATGGTTGGGAAAAAGGAGGGGTGGGAGGAGGAGGAGCAGGAGCAGGAGAGGAGGAGGAGGAGGTGAGGAGGAGGATGAGGCAGGAGAAGATGAGGAGGATGAGGGAGGCAGGACGGGGAGGATGAGGAGGAGAAAGGAGGGGAGGTAGGAGGGAGGAGGAGAGGAGGAGCAAAGGATGGGGAGGATGAGAGTATGGAGAGGGTAAAGGAAGGGGGAAGACAAGGGGAAAAAAATAAGGAGGAGGAAGGAGGACCAAAGGAGTGGGAGGAGGAGAAGAGGAGGGATGAGGGGGCCTGCCGCGGGTCGTGCTCGGGCCGTTGGCCGCGGCGGCTCTGCGCCTGGGGCCTGGCGAGGGGAGCTGCGGCGTGGCGCCCTTCACGAGCAGTCGAACGTGGCCATCGGGCCGGCCGGGACCCCCATCAGTGCCATCTCCTCCTCTCCTCGCTCCTCCTCCTTCACATACCAGGGCCCCCTCTGCGCCCTTGTTCAACGTTGAAGCCACCCAATACAAACCTTCCTCCTCCCCGTCCTTCCTCCTCCTCCTCCCTCCTCCCTCCTCCTCCTCATCCTCCTCCTCCTCCTCTTCCATCCTCCTCGTCTTCCCTTCTCCTCCTCCTCCTCCTCCTCCTCCTCCTCCTCCTCCTCCTCCTCCTCCTCCTCCTCCTCCTCCAGGGGGAAGGGGTGGGGGTGGGGGTGTGGGGGGGGGAACGGGCGCGCGGCAGCATTCGCGGGAAGGACCTCCAGTTTGGGGGACGTTTCGGCCGAATTGCGCGGCGCTCCTTCACGGCCGCGCGCCACCTAGCCTCGCCCCGTTCCCGTTTTTCTTTTCTTCCTCCCAGGAGAAGCTCTGTCCTGATGCTCATGTTTTGCCTTGCTGGTTTGCTCATGGGGCCGAGGCCGCCATTTTCAGAAACAAGCAGGCAGTATTCTTTTCTTGTTATTATCAGTACTCTTCTTCATCCTCCTCATCGTTCCTAGTCGTTCCCTCTCTTTTCGCCCCCGCTCTTGTCCCCCTTCCTCGCTTGGCCTCCTTGCTGCCCCTCTAGCCCTCATTGCAAAGCTCGTGCTCCCCACTCCCCACGCATCCTCCATATCGTCGTCGTCGTTCTCCTTCTCCTTTTCCTTCTCCTTCTCCTCCCCATCATCCTCCTCATGCTCCTCGTCCTCCTCCTCATGCTCCTCGTCCTCCTGCTCCTCTTCCTCCGCCTCCTCGGGAACCAAAGAGACCCCGCTCCTCCTCCTACTCCTCCCCTTCCCTATCCTCCTCCTCCGCCTACTCTTCCTCCTCCTCTTCCTCCTCCTCTTCCTCCTCCTCCCCCTCATCCCCCTCCTGCTCTTCCAGCCACCTTCCGTCGCGACGACGATTGCGATGACGACGACGGCGATCTTGACAACGACGATGACGATCCCGACAACGACGACGACGACGACGACGACAACGATTACGACGACGACGACGACGACGACGACGACGACCACCACCACCACCACCACGACGACGACGACGCTGACGACGACGACGACGACGACGACGACGACGACGACGACGACGACGACGATCGTCACGACGACGACGGCGACGCGCACGCTGCCAAAAACCCGCAATCAAGTCACACAAGGCGGGCGGGGGGGCCCTGGAGCGCGCGCGCTGTTTTCTTACCCCCTACAACCTGAGCTGGCGGCGGGCCCCCCTGGCGCCCCTCGGGCAGTTCGTGTCTCCACGGACGTGCAGCCCGTGCTACGCTCTCACGCCTTAAATCCTCCTTCTCCTCCAATCTTCCTCCTCTCCAACTCCTCCCCCTCCCTCCTCCTCCGCCTCCTCCCTCCTCCTCCTCCTCCTCCTCCTCCTCCTCCTCCTCCTCCTCCTCCTCCTCCTCCTCCTCCTCCTCCCCTTCCTCCTCCTCCACCCCCTCCTCCTCCTACAGCGACGGCAGCCACGACGCAGACGACGGCGATGATGTCGACGGCGGCTGCGACGGCGACGGCGAAGGCAGCAGCGACGGCGGTGACGACGGCGAGGGCGATGGTGGGCGGCGTTGGGCGGCGGCGGGCGGCGGTGGAGGGGAAGCGTGAGGATGGGCAAGGAAAGAGGACGCGAAGGGGAGGAGGAGGAGGAGAGGAAGGGGGAGAGCAAAGAGGAGGGGGGGAGGAGCGGGGGAGGAGAGGGGGAGGCGGGAGAGGAGGAGGAGCCTTTTGACAAGGAGGACGACGAAGAGGAGAACGAGGCGGAGTTGTCGGGTTGGCCCCCAGGGGGTCGGGGGCCTTGTCGACGCGGCTCGATGCGCCTTGAAGTCCCCGCCAGGAAGTGATCCACTACAGATCTGGGGGTCCACGTGTTTTTTTGTTTGGGGGGGGGGGCGGAAGGGGGCGGGAGGGGGAGGCAGAGGAGGGGGAGAGGGGAAGGGAAAGGGTAGAAGAACAAGGGGGAGTGAGGGGCAGGATTCGGAGAAGCAGGAGCAAGAGGTGCACCCCGAGCACCCGAGCAGGCACCCTCTCCGCAGTGGGGGCGGACGGAGGAAGAACAGCGGGAGCAGGAGCAGGAGGAGCAAGCAGCAGGTGCAGTAGCTGCTTGCATGTCTGCGGGAGTATATAAGAGCAGGAGCAGAACGAGGATGAGGAGATATCTGGAAGTGAGGATCGCAAAGAGGGGCAATGGGGGAGGAGCAGCAGCAGGATGGATGGGGATCGGTTTCAGGACGAGCAGCAGGTTGGCAGAGAATGACGAAGCTGGAAATGGGAGTAGAAGGAGGAGGCGGCAGAGGAGGAGGAGGAGGAGGAGAAGGAGAAGTGTGGGAGAGGAGGAGGACCAGGAAGAGCAGGACGAGACGGAGGAGGAAGGGGGAGGGGAGGTCCAGGAGGGGGCAGCGGGAGGAGGAGAAGGCCTGGGGACTGGAAAGGGCGACGACGAAGCTGCGCGATGGCGCAGGAAAAAACCTGCCCAGCGCGGGGCATGTCACGGCAGGTCGCTTCTCCCCCCCCCCCCCCGACTGGTCCCAGGGCTGTGCCGACTGAGTCGGGCGCCCCTTCGGGGCGCTTGCGGCAGCGCTCCTCGCCCGACCCTGCTCGCCAAAAAGCCAGCGGCTGTCCCGTGCTCACTGCGCTGCTCCCGGATTGCCCCAGGGCCGTCCCGCGCTTGTCGCGTCGGGTTGTGCAGTGGTTGGGGGTGGACAGACGTCCTACCCTGACACGTCGATCAAGGAATTGGCTGTTTTCGGTTCGCGAGAGGGCGTCGCGGCCGTCATGTTTGCGGCTCCAGGTCCGTCGGTTTCGGTCCTAGGCCGTTTTCACCAAGGGGAGGTTCACTAACGGGAGGGTTGTCCACCGCCGAAGTGGGTGCCTCCTGTTTCGCTTGTGGCTCGATCGACGTCGAACCATCCGCTTGGGAGGAGCGAGGAGGGAGGAGCGAGGAGGGAGGAGCGAGGAGGGAGGAGAGAGGGGAGGAGGAGGAGAAGGAGGAGGAGGAGGAGGAGGAGGAGGAGGAGGAGGAGGAGGGAGCGAGGAGCGAGTGGTCTCCGCTCTCGCGCATCCGTCGCACGTGTGGATGGCTGGGGTTCTGGGCGGGCCCGGCGGCCGCGGTGGCCGCGGTCGTCGGTGGCCCCACCTCGAAGAAGGAAAACATACATAACTGCTGACGCTTCGCGGATCCCCACTTGACTTGCATGTGCATGCGCCTCTTCGGCTACTTGTCTTCGTTTCGCGCCCCGTTCGATGCCCCGCTTCCTGGCCTTCGCCTGGGAGCCGCCAACAAAAAGCGAATCCCCACCAGCCCATCCAGAAACGATGCCCAAAGGAATGGCCTGGATCAGGGAGGAGGGAAGAAGGAACAAATCCATAAAAATATGAAGAAGTGTTGCGCTCCGCGCGGATTTCTTGGATCCGCGCTGGGGCCCCCCCGGCGGAGCCTCCGGCGCCGCCCTTGGCGCGCTCCGCGCGCCAGGGGGGAGGGTCCAGCGCAGATCCAAGAAATCAGCGCGGAGCGCCAACAATTTATGCTCATGTCGTGCTTTCTACTTCTACCGCTCTTGCCCGGGATTCAGAGGAGGGTGAAGTGAGAAAAGATACTTGGCGTTCGGAGGGGCCCATCGTCGCCACGGCTGGACGCAGCTCGAAAAACTGTTCTGGGCCCCAGAAAGGGTCAAGGAGCAGATTGTGAGATGCCGCCGTTTAAATTCAACCTGCTCCGCGTGGGGGTTGCACGTTGGTTGAGCGACGACGGGCGGGACCAGTGGGTCGCGTCGAGGCTCATGAGTAGCGGGTCGGACTCATTGGCGGAGTCAGCACGGCGGCTTGAGCGCAGAGGCTCTCATCCGCGCGGCGTGGGAGACCGCTGCTGTGCTCTGGTGAGCCAGTGGCCAGCTGATCTTGTGTTCGCCACAGAGACGCTGAATGACCTTCCTCGGCTCGGTGGACTGTAATCCGCGTCGGTGGTAAACGCGATCTAGATCCTCAGTGGCGAGGTGGACCGACCGATCGCATGCAGCAGTGTCACGATCAGAGCCCCCGGCCTCGAGGGCCGCGACACCAGCGCACCGCAGCGCGAGGCTGGCGGCCTCGTGCCGGTTTTGTCCGGTCGTGGCCCCGTCCGTCTCGTGCGTCTCGGTCTCAGGATCGTGCCCGGGGATCTCGAGCAGCGGTGGACCTCGATACTCTGGATTCCAATAAAGTCGGGGGGGTCACATTGGGGGGGGGGGTCTGATTTGAGCTGTCTTGGAGGGTTCGGGGGGGTCTGGGCAAAGGGCCGCCCTTTCATGGATGGTCTGGGAGGGTCTAGAACTGCTCGTCTGGGAGGGTTGAGACCCCCTCCCTTTTCATTACGAAATCTGGAGTATCTGCCCGGACGTGAGGTCGGGCAGACATCCACCCGCGGCTCCCCGAGCCCCTGGCCCAGATCCACATCCCGACCCTGGGCTCCTCACGTCGGGCTCGTCCGTCGTGCCCTTGCGACCCCTCGCGAGCGGCGCCCATCGAAGTCTCACTTATGGAAAGAAGGGGCCTCGTTCCTTCTTTAGGGTTCCTTAGGTCAACGCCCCTGGCCCATATCCACACAGCCCGACCCATTGCCTCCTCGCGTCGGCCTCGCCCGTCGTGCCCCTCGCGACCCCTCGCGCGCGGCGAGCGCGGGGAGGAGCGCGGGGAGCGCGGCGGCCGGCCGGGGGCGGCACGCGCGGCGCGCGGAGGGAAGATCGACTGCACGTGAGAGTGGCCGTTCGCCGGAGTGCCTTTTGGTGCGGGCCCCTGGGGGCCCCCCGATCGCCGAGCGCGCTGCGATGAAAGCGTCCTGCGCGCCCAAAGAGAGCCGCGCACCCAAGGCCACTCTTACCCCGGGTCACCCCCTGCGTGTAGCCGAAGAGCCAGCCACTGCTCCCCGAGCCCTTGGCCCATACAGTCGGGGCGCTGAAGAAGGAACCCTTTTCGTTGGGGAGGGGCTCGGTTTTCCTTGATTGTTTCAAAGCTTGCCTCAGGTGTTCCTTGTGTTTTCGATGGGAAATCGACGTCTAACTTATGGGAAAAAGGGGCCTCGTTCCTTCTTTAGGGTTCCTTAGGTCAACGCCCCCGGCCCATATCCACACAGCCCGACCCCGGCCTCCTCGCGTCGGCCTCGCCCGTCGTGCCTTCGCGACCCCTCGCGAGCGGCGCCGCGGGGAGGAGCGCGAGGAGCGCGGCGGCTGGCCGGGGGGCGGCACGCGCGGCGCGCGGAGGGAGGAGGGGGCGGCCCGTCGGCGAGCGGCGCGGAGCCGCCGTCCACCTCCTCGCCAGGACAGGAGCCGTGTGGGGGCGCAGATGCGCGGCCCGGGGCCACGAGGGGTGTCGGAGCGGAGCGTAGAGAGGGAGGGAGGGAGAGAGATGAATAAAGAGGGACGCGTATATATATATATATATATATATATATATATATATATATATACACATATATATATAAGATATATATATATATACATATCCGTAGCCATTTTGGCTCAAGGCTATGAACCGCCCGACGACCGCGAGTCGGCTTCGGTCGGCGACTGATGAGCGCGAGGGGGTTCGCGCTTTGAGGCCAAAGATTTATTCACCAATCGAGTCCCGTGCTGCCCTTTTGGGCCCCAGCCCCACGCATTCTCGCTCTGCACGCACCTCTTCCCAGCGGCTGGGATGCCAGATGGCGCGGCTTCTCTCTCTCGGCGGACTGGCAAAGCGGGCAAAGCTTCTGGTGGCTCTGGCGCTAGCCAGCGCAGGCGCAGCAGCCCTCGTGAAGACGATGACCGCAGCCGCAGCGCTGGCACGGACGACCCCTTCCAGTCCGCCAACGCCGACCCTTGGCGCGCCCGCGGAGACGATGGCCAGGGCACGGCCACGCCGATCGCAGCCACTCCTCCAGCGACCCCTCGGACTCCGCGCAGCAGCGGCCGCCTCAGAGCTCATCCCCATCGCGCTCATGACTCTCCTCGGCCTGCTGGGGCTCCTGCTGCGGCGGCAGATGGGCCTGTCTTGCGCTCGGAGCTGGAGGGGATCCTGGGGGCCATGCGCGATTCCATCGTCGACTTCGTCTCCGACGCCAACAACAAGATGTCTGCCAACATCGCCGCTTCCACCACAGCTGCTCTTCGCATCTTTGGCGAGCGCCAGGCCGCCAAAAATGCGCAGATCGACCAACATCTGCAGGATCTGGACCGCGGCGTCTCCCGCATCCAGCGTGACCAGCACGAGATGCGCGAAGCCTTGGCGAAGCTGGAAAAGGTGGTCTCGGCATG